TTTCTTTCTTTCTTTCTTTCTTTCTTTCATTCATTCGTATCAATATCATTACCTACCTATGCCACTTAATTTTTTCCTTTCCCCAAAATAAAATCTCTCTTTTGTAAAAAATAAGTTTGGTGTAGCAAAACATATCCAAACATTAGCATTTCTGAAAATGTATGTCTCCTCCATCTCTACTACATCATTTCTCTGTTGAGAGGTGGGAAGTAGGCTCTATCAGTTTTCTTGGGTCATGATCAGTCAATGCATTGATCAAAGTGTTTTTTAGTCTTTCAAAGTTGTCTTCCTTCACCTACCCAGAAAAACTGAGTATAATCCTTCAGGGGAAAAATGGATATTCAATGAGATAGAGGACTTTCAATAATCCCTGATGAAAAGACAAGAATATTAGGGTATTTAGAAGGAGTATATATAGACAGAGGGCACAGGTGTGAGTTGAATATGAAGGGATGATAAATAAAAATAAAATTAAGGGGTGAGAGAGGAATATACTGGGAGAAACAGAAAGGGAGAGGAATAATGGGATGAATTATTTTACATAAAAGAGGCAAGAAAAAGCTTTTACAGTGGAAAGGAAGAGGAAGTGAGTAAACCTTACTCTCATCAGAATTGGCTCAAAGGGGGAATAATCTACATGCTTAATTGGATATAGACATCAATCTTACCCTACAGGAAAGTGGGAGAGGAAAGGGATAGTAGAAGGCGGGAGCTGATAGAAAGGAGAGCCCATTGGGAGAGAGGGTAGTCAGAAGCAAAACACTTTTGAGGAAGGAGAGGGTGAAAGGAGAGAGAGAGAATAGGATAAACAGGGGATGGAGGGAAATACAGTTAGCAATAGTAACTGTGAAAAAATTTGAAGCAAGTTTCTCTGACAAAAGCCTCATTTCTCAAACATATAAAGAACTGAGTCAAATGTATAAAAAATAAGAGCCATTCCCCAATTGATAAATTATCAAAAGATATGATCAGTTTTCAGATGAAGTAATCAAAACTATCTATAGCCATATGAAAAAAAATACTCTAACTCACTATTGATTTGAGAAATGCAAATTAAAACAATTCTGAGGTACTACCTCATAGCTACTAGATTGGCTAATAGGACAAAAAAGGTAAATAACAAATGTTGGAGGGGATGTAGGAAAAATTAGACATTAATGCACTGTTGGTGGAGTTGTGAACTGATTCAACCATTCTGTAGAACAGTTTGGAACTATGCCCAAAGGGCTACCATACCCTTTGACCTGGCAATACCACTACTAGGTCTATATCCCAAAAGAGATAAAAAACAAAAAGCAAAGGACCTACATGTACAAAAATATTTACAGCAGCTCTTGTCTGGGAATAAAGAATTAGAAATAGAGGGGCTGCCCTTCAATTGGGGAATGGCTGAACAAATTATGGTATGTGATTATGATGGAATACTATTATACTATAAGAAATGATGAGCAGGATGCTCTCAGAAAAACCTGGAAAGACTTGCATGGGCTGATGCAAAGTGAAATGTACTATGTACAAAGTAACAGCAATATTGTTAGAGGATCAGCTGTGAATGACTTGGCTATCCTCAGCCATACAATAATACAGACAACTGTGAAAGACCTTTTTTTTGGGGGGGGGGCAGTTAGGGTTAAGTAATTTGCCGAGAGTCACACAGCTAGTAAGTGTCAAGTGTTTGGTCTGAGGCCGGATTTGAACTCAGGTCCTCCTGATTTCAGGGCCGGTGTGCTATCCACTGCACCACCTAGCTGCCCCATCTCTGAAGGACTTATGATGAAAAATGCTATCCATCCCCAGAGAAGGACCTGATGGTATCTGAATACAGATTGAAGCATACTTTTTTTTAACTTTGTTTTCCTTGAGGTTTTTTTCTTGTCTATGTTTTCTTTCACAAAATGACTATTATAGATATGTTTTGCGTGACTGCGTATGTATGACCTACATCAAACTGCTTGTTTTCTCAGTGAGGAGGGGTAGGAAGGGAAGAGGGGAGAGAATGTGGAACTCAAAGTTTTAAGGACAAATGTTGAAGATTGTCTTTACATGTAGATGGGGAAAAATAAAATACTAAATATAAAAAGTTGTTTTCTTTATATTAATAATAATAACCAGTATTTATATAGTGCTTTAAGGTTTACAAAATGATTCTCAGAACAACCTTGCAAAGTAGGTGCTACTATCTGTCTTTCACAAATGAAGAAACTGAGTCAACAGAGGTTAGGTAACTTTCCCAGGGTCACACAGCTAGTAAGCATCAAAAGGGGCATTTGAACTCAGGGCTTCCTAATTCCAAGCCCAGCAGCCCATCCATTGTCCCTCCTAGCCACCTTATATTGTAATCACTGTATAAATAGTTGTCTTGATTCTGTTCAAATTATTCTCTGTCATTTCAGGTCTTCCCAGGTTTCTCTAAATTGCTGCCTTTTTTCACTGTTTATGGCACAATGTTATTCAATTATGTTTATAATTTGTTCAGCCATTTCCTAATTTATTTCATTTTTGTTTCCCTTTAAGCCCTTCCCACCTTCCTTCACTATTACTTTACAGGGCAACACCATCGTTGTAATACCTCAGGCTTAAAACCTAGGTGTCATCCTCAATACCCAAGGCCTGTCATTCCCCAATTAATGTGGACCCCCTTAGCCTCTAATTCTTTGTTCCTACAAAAGTCCTACAAATATTTTATTTTTGGAAATTTAGGTGTTTGTTACCACAACAATGCCATAAATTTTTTTTGTACATATAGGTCCCCTCCCTCTTTCTTCAATAATTTTTTGGGGAAGGAGATTACATACTTGTCTGTGATACTCGTGAGCCAAAGGTTTGACACAGTTTAATGAATTTTTGCATATAGTTTTAACATTGCTTTCAAGAATGGTTTGGCTACTTTAAAGTTCCTTCCAATAGTGCATTTCCACAGCCTCTCCAACAATTATAATTTCCTTTTTGGTTATCTTTGTCAATCGTATGTCTATGCGGTAGAACTGCAGAGTCATTTTAATTTTCATTTCTCTGCAAATCAAAACAAATCTGAGGTACCTCACTCCCATCAAACTGGCAAAGATGACACACAGTACTGTGGTACCTCACACCCATCAAACTGGCAAAGATGACAAAATGTAGAAAAAGTCAGTGTTAGAAGGATTATAAAAAGACAGGTACACTAATGCATTGTTGGTGGAGTTGTGAACTAGTATATTCATTCTGGAAAGCAATTTGAAATCATACTGATAAAGTAGTTAAAATGTTCATGTCATGATCCAGAGATTCCATTGCTGAATATTTGCTCAAAGGAGGTTGTTGGAGAAAAAAAAAAGGCTCCATATACACCAGAATACTTATTAGCAACTCTTTTTGTGGTAGCAAAGATCAGGAAACAAAATAGATGCTCATCAGCTGGGGGATGGCTAAATAAATTAAGGCATATGAATATAATGGAATATTACTCTGTTGTAAGAAACAATGTAAGCATATGATGAGTGTAGAGAAGCATAGAAAGACTTACATGAAGTGATTCAAAGTGATGTAAGAGGAGACAAAACATACAAGACTATAACAATGTAAATGGAAAAAACAACCACTACAAAACAATAAAAAGTGAATCACATGAATCATGTGAAGAAAGTGACAAAAATGCGTGTATCTTTTGACTCACTGCTGGGCATATACCTCAAGGAGATTAATTATAAAAAGAAAAGCCCCATAAACAACAAAATAGTTACAGTGGTACTTTTTGTCACAGCAAAGAATGGAAACAAAGAAGATGGCCATCAATTGGGGAATGGCTAAACAGGTTATGATACATAAAGGTAATGAAAGAGAACTGTGGTGTAAGACATAATCAAGAAGACAAGAACAGACACATGAGAAACCCTATAGGAACTGATACAAAATGAATGAGGTACGCAGAACCTGGAAAACAATATACTCAACGATAATAACAATATAAATGGAAAGAGTAACAACAAAAACCCCACCAAAAAGGAATACTGTAGAATTATATTGACTGAGTTTGTACCCAGGAAGAGATATGAGAAATTATCACCCTCACTTCTTTAAAGAAATGAGGAATTACGAGTATAGAATACTATATATAATGTCAAACTTTTTCTATGCCTTATTTAGTTTTGCTGAACTATGAGTTTTTCCCCCCTCTTATTTTACTGTTTGTTGTAAGTGATGGTTCTCTAGGGGAGCAGTAGGGAGAGTTATGTTGGTAAAGGAAAGTATTTTGAAGACAAAAGATATCAATAAAATATGTTAAAAATACTTGAAGTATCTATAATTTTATCGAGGTAGGGAGCTCTTTCAGGTGTGAAACTCCTCCAATCTATGTAGATAGCAACCCATCTGTGATGTAGTGGAGAATTAGGTTCTAGGGAGCTCTCTAAGAGTGACTTGCTTGGAAGTTATGCATTTAGTTTCAGAGGCAGGACTTGAACCCCATAATTCTTCCTGATTGCGATCCTGGGAGTCTATTCACAGTGTCCTGCTGCTTCACAAAAATTCTATGGGATTAAACATGTCTGATACGTGTCCTGTGAACTCAAATTTCTTCATAATGAAATACCATTGTTAAAGACTTAAGTCTTTAAAGAACAAAAAACTTATCCCAAACAGAGGGATCTAAAAAGTTCAATCAAATAAGAAAGAAGAAAGAAAGAAAGAAAGGAAGGAAGGAAGGAAGGAAGGAAGGAACGAAGGAAGAGAAAGAAAAGAAAAGAAAAAGAAAACTTGGGCTAAAACATAGCATTGAATGAATTCAAAATTACCTATAAGTCTTATAATGAGTTCATGGGCTAGGTAAAAAATTTGACCATGTGTCTGGAAGGGGGTGTTTTCTAGAAATTCCATTAACTTTTATGGGTTCTCTATTCTACAAAACTGTATTAAGGGACTTGTAATATGACAGGGTTAGCCTGGGGTAAAGATAGAGAGGCAAGATAAATGAGGGTTAACAACACTATTCTACTGGTAAAATCTTCTTTATTAGAGTTGGGATATAGTCAGGTGTGAATGACACCTGGGTGGCCTTCAAACACATTGAGGTCAATATGTCCAAAATAAAACTTTTCTCCTCCCTTGCCTCCCTCTTCCCTCCCCCAAACAGAACAAAACAAACAAAACCAGACCCAAACTCCTTGCATTTTCCCAAGGTATTTGCTATGCTTTGAATGAATTTTTGGATATCCTCTCCTGGCCACCACATGATTCTTTTCCTTGAAGGTTCAACCTTCTTTTATGTCATTTTGACATCTGCTAAACACTTTATCATAGTTTAATTTGTATTGTAAATTGCTTGAAGGTTGGGCCTCCATTATTTTTCTTCTTTGGACACTGAGTGCCTAACACTGTGCCTTTCATTGAATAAATATTTGTTGAATTGAAAACAAGTAATGGCAGAATGTTCTATTCAATAAGGCTGTAATTAATTTTACAGAGGGACAAAAATCCTGCCCAGATTTAACAAAACACTGAAAATAGTGCAGGTTCTTGACACTGAGCTGCCTTGATAATTTAACTCTTTCAATCTATATTGTCTCTAAGTATATGACTGAAGAAACACAGGTTTGTGTTAGTTTTCCAGTAATCATTTACTGTTATCAGTGACTATTTGCAAAAGGGCTTAAAGTATTGCAAAAGGGCTAAAAGTTCAATACCTCTGGACGTTTTACTCAGAACGATTTTTTTTAGAAGTTCTCTAAAAGGACAAGCAGTAACTCAGTGATTTGCTTTACATAATCAAAACCACAAAGAAAAATGATAAAGAAATAAAAAAGAGTGTGGATGGGCAGGTTTGGATTTTATACTAACAGTATCCCTAGCGGTTTTTATGGCCTTTTTCAGTTGTTTGTCAAAACTGGTGTTACCAAGCATTCAGCGTGTCTGATTGTAATAGAGCTTGGGTTGGATGACCTAAGAGCTATCTCACACTTACTGTGGTAATATGTGGCTTGACCATATCTGAACCACTGAATTTGAGGTGGAAGTAGATAAATGTTAACCATTGAAAAAAAAAAGGAAATAATCAGCATTGGTTGAAACTGAAAAGATTTTTGTAGAAAGAATTTAAAATGACTTGAAAAGTAACACGAAACCAAAAGGACACTCAGAATCCTAAATCGGCAACTCAAGGATGCCTTCACCCTAAAACTATAGGTTGGTGTAAATTCCCAGGAACCACCCCCACCCTATAAATGGGAGTGATTAGGTAGACATTCAAGTGACTGCAGTAGGTACATATTTACCAATACAAGAGCTCTCTCGCTCTCTCTGTTTTACCCTTTGGCAGTATTCAAGACCAAAGTGACCCTCACCTTCCCTCTTGGCAACAGCAGCTTCAGCTTTAGCTATACCCACTTATGGGGGTGGAGAGAGGTCTATGACCCACACCCCCTCAGCAGCCCCCTCCGTGTTTCTCTCACGTCGGCGATTGGCCAAGACCATCGCCAATCAGAGCGGGGCAGGCCAGCGAATGGGCTTTGGTTGGCAGAGGGGGAGTCGCTGTTCCCTTCACCCCCCACTTTCCCCGCCTCCTCCTCCCGGGCCGGTGCCCCCTCCTCACAGGGAGGGCCAGGAGGGGGCGTGGCTGTGGCTGTGGCCAGGCCGGTGGCGGCGTTGGTGGCTGTCGCTGCTGCTGCTGTGTGCGGTGTGGATGCGGCGGGCTCTCGGCGGCCGCGGGCTTGGCGGCTGCGATCAGAGGGGATGAAGAAGCCGTGGCGGAGCCGGTGAGTGCGGGCTGGAGTCCTTAGTCATTCTTGTCTCCCCTTCCCCTCCTTCCCAAGCTTTGCGGCTCCTCCGGGATGGGGATGGGGGGCTGGAGCGGGAGCTGGAGCTTGGGCCCTCGGACCCTGGAGCCTTCTTCCTCCTCTTCCTTCCTCCTCCTCCTCGCGTTCGACTTAGGTCGCTGCGGTCGGCCATGCTCCGGGGCCCGGGCTGGCTGGGGAGCCTAACTCGGGCCTCGGAGCCGACAGTCTGTCCGCAGCCCCCCGAGGGACCTTGGTGCTCCCCTTGGTGCCCGAAGCTGCTGCGGCCGCATCCTCTGCCCAGCCCCTCCCAGGACGCCTCCGGATGCCCTGCACGGGCCAGGGCCCCGGACTGCCCGCTCCTCTGGCCGCCTGCCTGGAGGGGAGCCCACACCCCTGCCTGCAGCCCAGCTCCACTCTCCTCCTCCTTGACCGGTCCTCTCCTCTCGTCGTCCCCTTGCAGCCAGGCTCCTGCTCCCCTCCCCTGGACACACTCCTCTCTATTCCCTGCTCCAGGCTCCTGATCTCTTCTCGGCCCACTCTTCTCCTCCAGCCTCCCCTCCCCCTCGACCCCTGCCTCCAGGCTCCTGCTCTCTTCTCCTGTACCTACTCTCCTCCATCCCTTGTCTGGGCTCCTTCTCTTACACTGGACCTGCTCTTCTGCTCCAAGCACCCCTTCTCCGTCCTTCCCCCCCCCCGCCACTTCCCCCTCCTCACCCTGCGGCCAGACTCCTGCTCTTTCCTTGCCCCCAGGCTTCTGCTGTCTTCCTTCCTACACCCATTCCTCCTCTCCAACTTCCCCTCAACCTCCCTTCCCCTTTGACCTTTGCCCCCAGGATCCTGTTCTGTTTCCCTGGACCGACTCTATTTCTTGTCCCAGGTTCCTTTTCTTTGCATTGGACCCACTCTTCTCCTCTAACGCTCACCTCGCAGCCAGGCTTCTGCACTCTTCCACTGCGCCCATTCCTCTACTCTCCCCACATCCTCTGAAGCCAGACTCTTACTCTTCCGCTGGGACCTGCTCCTTTCCATCTAATGCCTCCAGGCTTCTGGCCCCTAGCACTGGACCTACTCTTCTCCCACCACCTTTCTTGCAGCCAGGCTTCTCCTGCTTCCTTCCAATGGGACCCGCTCCTCTGTCTACATCTCTTGTCTCTGAAAGGCTGATCCACCTCGACCCCGTCCTCTCCTTCCCATCCTTCGCATCTTCCCAGCAGCTAGGCGCCTACTGTCTTCCACTTGGACCTGTTTTACCCCGTGCTCTTTCCAAGCTTTTTTTCCCTCCCAGTTTCCCTGGGCCGGTTCTCGTTCTCTTTCTCTCACCTTCAGAGCTGTTCCAGGGCATCCCCCCCTCCCCTATTCCTACTGTCTGGCTGTCCCCACACCTCCCTCCAGGTGTTTGATCTCCATCCCCCTGCCCGCCCGCCATCTGCTTCTCTCCTCTTAGTTTTGCTCCGTAATCCCTGCCTCCTCCTCCATCTCCTCCACCGTCTGCCGTGGGGTGTCTCATCATCTCCCAGCTCTCTGCTCCCCACTTATCTCCTTACTCCCTGTCCCTTTCTTGCCCTCTTCAGGTCGTTGCCCTCTATCCTGGCTCCTCTGCTCGGTTCATGAGCCAGGGCACTTTGCTCCAGCCTACCCTCCTGTGCTTGCTGCTGGCTCAACCTCCCCCACTCCGCCCCGTGCCCGCTCGCCTGTGGCCCCCCCACCCCCATCCCCCAACCTCTGAGAGAGCCCTGGCCTGGGCCGCCAAGTAACTCTCAGCCTCAGTAACAATGCTCAGTTCTCGGTCACGGTGGGAAGGCTTTTGGGGAAAGCCTGCAAGCCTCGAGTTGAAGGGGTGAAAGAGTCTGGCTAGCCAAGGAGCAGTGTTGCCTTGATTGATAATCCCCAGGAGACTTTCTCTGTGGGGGCCCGAGGTGGGGGTGGGGAGCCTGACTCTTCCGCCAACGCATTGAGGCTTCAGAGAGTGGAAAAATCTCTTATTCTGCAAGGACTTTCCGTCCGGGTCTTGGGTACTTGCGGGCAATGGTGATTTCTCCCCGGACTCAGAAGCCGCGCCAGGATTAGTTTCAAAGCTGTCAAAAGAACAAAGTTATTCATTATCACCCAGGAGTAGTAGATAGGTTTGGGGTTGGATTCTTTCCTTTTTGAGCAACCCATCATGTTAGCTGTTATGGGCTGGATTGTTGTCCTATTTAGGTTTTATGTTAAAGTGTTGCTTTATCCTTACCATTTTTAAAAGCTAAAAATTAAAGGATCAGTTTATTTAATTTGTATAGAAGCTTGTCAAAAGATGAGCAAAATGTATTTCAAAGGGCATTGATGCTTAACTCTTACAGAATTCGTATTTGTTATGAGGTGAAGTATTTGGAATTACTTAAATCAGAAGTATAGTGATTTCCTTGGCTAAACTATGCTTTTTAAAATTTCTGTTATTTTATGGTTCTCATAACATACAGCTTTTAGGTATCATAGAGATTAGTTATTTTTTAGTATGCTTCAGGCACTTTGTACTAAATATTAGTTTCTTGTTTCTGTACACATGAGTTATTCAATTTTGCCTCTCTAGCAGTATAACAATGTAGTAATTCTTGCAAACCAATTCTTTTATCTTTTTGAGAGGTTAGACAAAAGAAAGCTGTCCCTGGCCTTTCCCATAGACCTTTCAGTTTGCCTCATTCTATCTCTCCCAACTCCCCTCCTCCCATTTTAACAGCTTCAACATCACTATGGTGTTTTCCTCTACTTTTAAGACTTCCTTGTTAAGCAAGTAAGTATTGATGTTTTTGAAAATCGTTGTGTAGCATTTACATGCTTAAAGCTTTATGTTTATGTCTGCTCAAATAAGAGTAATTTTGTTGAAAGTTTATTTCCAACTTAGGGTACTTATGTTCTGGCTTATTTTATATTGACTTAAAATGTTGTTGACGTTTGCTGGTGGGAAAGAGACTTTTTCTAGAGATATAAAAAGAAGTCCTCATAGAGTTTTCCATTGGCAATTTTGAAAGTTGTAGCTTTCTTCCACTTATTTTCTTGAAGTGAGTAAATGATTTGCCATAAACTGCAGATATTTTTTAAGCAGCAAAAAAGTTTATAAAGCACAGCTTTGAAAGATGATCATGTCAACATCAAAATCTACTGTTAGTGACATTTTTATTTTTACATGTTTAGTGTTCCTGAAGAATTTAAATGAATTATTAGAAGTTATAGGGACATCTTAGTTAAAATAATTTCATAATGAGTCCAAAAAGAATTTGAGACAAAGTGGTATGCTAATTATGGTGGTCCTTTTTTCAGATTTGCCCCAGTTTCCAGGTCTAAGAGGGTTTTATTTTTGTTTGAAGTACATTCACAAAATAGGGCAATAATTCAAAAGCTTGCTTCTTATAATCATTGTCCTTCATTTTCATAGATAATTGTCATGTAGATAAGGCTCAAAAATACCCATATTATCTTGTTAGAACCCCTCTTTTTTAACCATCTTGTTTACTTCTTCATAGATTATGCTGCTTTTCCCAAGGTTGTTGTCTTCTACCCAGGCCTGTCTTCTTTTCTCAAGACCCAATCTCCAAGAGATTCTATTTTTCTTCTCTCCTGGACTACACTTAATTCAATTCTGAGTCTCTTCTCTCCCAGGTCTTGTTTTCCTCTCCTGGAAGTGCTCATCTCCCCAAGGTTCTGTTCATGTCCCTCAAAGCTAACCTCCTTCTTCCGAGTTTGACCTTTGTCCCAGAACCTATTCTTTCCCAGGGTAGGCTCCCCCTGGGAGGATGGTAATTTTATTCTCAATGTGTTCTTCTCTCTTAGGTCCAGTTCTCTTCCCCCCAGTGTGTTGTATTCTCTTAATGCTTGGCTCTGCTGTCTCATGACCTAGTCCTTTTCTCAGGATTTGGTCTCAGGGGCCTCTATTCTCTGTGAAGAAAAAAAAAACATCTTGGGAGAAGAGCAGTTTTCTCTTATTCATGGCCGGGTCTGCTCTTGGCCTCTTTTCTTCTTTTTAGAGCTTTAACTTTTATTCTTTTGTAACCTATTTTTCTCTTTGGGGACTCTTCTCCCTATCTTGGATTTGGACTCCTTTCTCATGTTTCAGCCCTTTTTTTCTTAGTGTCTTTTATTTCTTCCTTGCTTTTTTAAAGGCTCTTGATCTTAGACTTCTTTCCCAGGGCTTTGACCCTGTACCTGGTATCCTCCTCAGAACCTGTTGTTTTACTCTTAGAACCCTGTTCATGTCTTTCAGAACCCCTGCTCTCCTTATCTGAGCTCCTGTGGCAATTACTGTCTGAAAGATTCATCTGCCAATTAATCATTTGCTGCCTTCTGCAGTCTTGCTTTGTCTTGAACAGATCTTTAAATCTTACTGTTGTTTGCATGTGTATGTCTCAGAACCCTAACTAGATTGTAAATTCTTGGGGGAAGGGATCATTTCCCAAATCATTTATGTGCTGTGCATGTAATGGACCCTTAAATATGTTTAATTTTGTTGCATAATAATAACTCAGTCAATAAACATTTTTTAAGCATGTTCCTGGGAATTATGCTAAGCACTTGGACAGGTCTCTACCCTCAAGGAGTTTACAGTCTAATGGGAGAGATAACATGCAAATGACTGCGCATAAATGAGTTCTATATAGTTTAAATTACAGATAAGCAATGAAGGAAAGGCCTTGGAATTAACAGAGATCATGAAAAACTTCTTGTGGAAGGTGAGATTCTCATTGTCCCTGCATATAGTTCCTCGGGTAGTCCTATCATTATCCCTATTTTACAGATAGAGAAACTGAGGCTCATTTAAGTTAAATAGCCATGACTCAAGGTCATGGGTAATGAATAGCAGAATCAAGACTCATACTCTAGTCTTCTCATTCTTAAATCCTTTGTTCTTCTGCATCTCTCTCTCCCTCTGTCTCTCCCCCCCCCCATTTCTCTGCCTTTCTGTCCCACCCCCCAGCAATTCTACCTCTAAGGGTAGGTTTTTCACC